TTCCACAGCAGAGCTTTCATGTGGATGGGGCATGACTAGCTCCCTCTGAAAACTGAGGACCCGGAGCAAAGAATGTTCTGGGAAAAGGTGAGTGTGGGGGGTCTCTTTACCCAGAATGCTCTCTGCTCCTGTTCAGGCAATGCCAGAGGAGGAGGGAAGAGAGAAGTTTTTCCCTGACATAGTTCCCGTGGAACAGAGACCCCATTGCTCATGACTCCCCACTCTGGCACAGCCACAATGGGCTGGGCTGGTGCACAGAGCAGATGGGATGAAAGGTCAGCCGATCTGCTGGGACATCTGACCTCAGCACCTGGTGCCCGGTGAGATGGCAGGGTCCTAGCGTGGGAAGGGTCTATTCCTGCGACTCCTTGGCCTCCCCATATTGGCGCATGGTCTCCAAGATCCAATCTCGGTAGCGCCCCACTCTGGTGTAAAGGCCGTATGTGCCACACTGTGGTCCCCAGGAGACTAGCCCCCCTACATAGTACCGAGTCTCATTGCGGGGATCTGTGATGGCAAAGGCTCCGCCACTGTCTCCGGCACAGCTGTCCTTCCTGCCACCTCCTGCACAGATCATGTTCTCAGTGAAGTGGAAAGTGGTGGCATCAGCAAGTGATTCCGGCTTCACATTGCGGCATTTTTCCATGGTGACCACGGGGATCTGGGCCATCATGAGATGCTGGACTCTGTCTCGCTTCTCTGTGCGGCCCCAGCCGGATATGTAGCCCACTCTGCCGTCTGTCAGCTCATACTCAGGGGAGGCACCAGGGAGGCAAAGTGGTGAGATCCTGGGGCCCATCTTCACCGGTTCCATCAGCCTCACCAGGGCAATGTCGTTATCAAAATTCGTCCGAGTGTTTGGGTCTGCCACCTTTGTCCAGCCGGGGTGAATGAACACTTTGTCTTGCTCCAGCTGAACGGCCTCCTCATCCTGGGATTGATGGCGGATGTTGATCGCGCCAGCGTACATTGTGGACTTGCCTCTTGAGTCATCCAGCACATGCGCCGCAGTCAGCACCCACCGCTCAGAAATGAGTACCCCACCTCCCCGGGGGCTTGGGAATAAGACCTGCCAGGGGAAGTTGCCTGTCTTAGCACGAGTGCCCCCAAAAATCCTCTGATGATCCTGGATGGGCGAATTACCACTTGATGGGCAGTGCTGTCTGTACATCACTGACAACCCCATAGTCCCCTCTCACCTGCCTCCTTGAGAGAATTACCACTTGATGGGCAGTGCTGTCTGTACATCACTGACAACCCCATAGTCCCCTCTCACCTGCCTCCTTGATACCACCCTGGTTCAACATAACCCGTGTCCGCGGCAGCACTGTGTCAAATCATTTGCATCCAAAATTTACAGGAAAGAAAATATAAGGAATAGGGGGACAGAAAGGGCTCCTGCTGGCAGGGGAACTGAGGGGAAAGAGAAGCCCTGCCGGCCAGAGGGTCTCGGGGGAAGTGATGGCCCCTGGCAGCTGAGGTGAGGCTGGGGGAGAATAGAATCCCAAAGGCACTGCCCTGACTCCTTCAGCCCCACTTTGCCATCTCCCTGCCCTGAAGGACCCGGGAAACACAGGATAAGTCTTCTAGTATTCCAAATATTTTGATGTTTTTCTACATTTTCAATATATTGATTTCTTTGTAAGGGAGTATTTGCTACCAGCCATAGGAAACATTAAATCAGACAAACCTACTCTTCTAGATAATGTATATAAAGACTGTGTGAGTCTGAAATATACACTGATTTTACACATATTTACTTTGATCTTTTGTCCTTCGTATGCAAATCCTATCAGAGGGAGCCTGCAGAATGAGTCACTGGTGAGAGACCCACCTGCAGGAGCCCTGGGAAAAAATGGTCTCCATACCAGCCAGAGGAAAAGGCCTGTCTGGAGCTAACTGTAGCAAGAGGCAGGAACAGCTCCTGCTTAAGATGAAAGGGGCGGCCCTGAGAGAGGATATTCAGGGTAGTCTGGGTTGCAGAGAGTTAACACTTTACCATTTCTTAGGGGTCTAGGCTGGGCTTTCCAGCAAAGGTGGGCAGAATATGCCTCCTATTGCCCTGCTCCAACAACTCTTAGGCTACGTCTACACTGGCATGATGTTCCGGAATGCTTTTAATGGAAAAGCTTTCCATTAAAAGCATTTTCGGAAAAGAGCGTCTAGATTGGCAGGACGCTTTTCCACAAAAGCACTTTTTGCAGAAAAGCGTTCGTGGCCAATCTAGACGCACTTTTCCGCAAAAAAGCCCCGATCGCCATTTTCACGATCGGGGCTTTTTTGCGGAAAACAACTCTCTGCTGTCTACACTGGCCCTTTTGCGCAAAAGTTTTTCGGAAAAAGACTTTTGCCCGAACGGGAGCAGAACAGTATTCC